TACTTGGAAGGCTGAGGCGGAAGGATCACTGGAGCCTAGCAGGTCGAGGCTGCGGTGGCCTTGAGTGTGCCACTGCACTCCAGTCTGAGTGACAGAGTGACACTCCAACTCAAAAAAAAATTTTTTTTAAACACCCCTATGATAAATTGAACAGTGAAATTATTTTGTTTATTTATTAGTCAGGGTTTCACTCTGCTGTTCAGGCTAGAGTGCAGTGGCATGGTTATGGCTCACTGCAGCCTCCAACTCCTGGGTTCAGGCGATCCTTCCAAACAGCTGGGACAACAGGCACATACCACCATGCCCGGGTAATTTTTTTTATTCTTTTTTGTGGAGTCGAGGTCTTACTATGTTGTTTAGGATGGTCTTGAACTCCTGGGTGCAAGCTGACCTCCCTCCTCAAACTCCACAAAGTGTTGGGATTATAGGCGTGAGCCACTGCGCCCAGCCTGAAATTATTATAGTCAGTTCTGCCGTAATGCTTGCTTTGAAATTGTTCCTTTGTCCCAACAAGGTTGATAGTACAGCTTAAGCATCACACAATTTTGCTTATGAGTGATTTGTCAGTGAAAATACTAGGTAAACCAGAAAAACCACACCAAACTGTGCAGAGTTATGTAGGAAAACACACGTGCATACTTGAGATAGCCAGCAGCTTCACTGTGCAAACTTGGGGCTCTCCCACCCTGGTGACGCTGGTGACACAACTTCCCTCTGGAAGTTCAGATAACCCTCCTTCCACCGTTTCACAAGAGCACATAAACTGCCCCCTGCCAACACCCACTTCTACAAGCCAACCTCACACATTCCTTAACCCCCAGAACCTATGTAAAACTGTGCCTCTGTCTTCCTGAGGTTTTTATCTTTCTGCATGACTGATAAAGTTTCTCAGTTTGGTGCCACTCACCCCATTTTCCCATAAGCCCCCTGGTTTTGATTGCACAGTTTTGCATAGCATGGTGGTTTGGGGGCACACATTACAGCAGAAATTACTGTACAGCTATTTCCTGCTTTGTCCTTCGATCAAGCCAACAGCTTAACAAAGAGCCCCGTTGAGTTGTGACAGTAACCCTACCCAGGCAGGCCATGGCTGAGTGAGAGCCTGACACTGTGGGATTGTGGGCAGACAAGGCTGGGGCCTGTTTAGCTACCACACCCTCCCTCAAGGCTCAGGAATGCAGAGGTGCTGTATTCCTTTCCCGTGGCTGCTGGAACAAATGACCATAGACTGGGTGGCCTAAAACAACAGAAACGGATTCCCTCACGGTTCTGGAGGCCAAAAGTCCAAAATCGAGGTGTTGGCAGGGCCACACTCCCTCTGAAGGCTCTAAGAAAGCCTCCCTCACTGCTTCCTAGCCCTGGCGGCTCCAGATGTTCTTGGCTTGTAGCCCTATCTTCCAGTCTCTGCCTCTGCCATCACATGGCCTCCTTAGAAAGATACTAGTCTAGCTGGACACGATGGCTCACCCCTGTAATCCCAGAACTTTGGGGGGCGGAGGCGAGAGGATTGCCCGAGCCCAGGGGTTCAAGATTAGCCTAGACAACTTGGCAAGACTTCGTCTCTACAATAAATTTTTTAAAAAAGAAATTAGCTGGGCATGGTGGTGCATGCCTGCGGTTTCAACTACTTGGAAAGCTGAGGCGGAAGGATCGCCTAAGCCCAGCAGGTCGAGGCAGCAGTGGCCGTGAGCATGCCACTGTACTCCAGTCTGGGCGACAGTGAGACTCCAACTCAAAAAGAAAAAAGATACTTGTCTTACTAACCTCATATGACTTCATCTTAACTAATTACATCTACAAAGATTCTTTCCAAATAAGGTCACATTCTGAGGCTCTGAGTAAACATAAATTTGCAGGAAATGCTCTCCAACCCCGTATAAGCACTGATGGGAAGAAAGACAATCATAGATCTTCCCGGCTGCCTGTTTCTACAGCGAATACTGCCAGAATGAGGAGGTGGATGAGGGAGTCTGAGGCCTGGGCTGGAATGCCTCTACCCAAGGGGCAGGCAGGTCATATCAATCCATTGGAAAGTGCCTCAAAGTTTGCCCAAGTGTGAGAAGTATGAGGCCAGAGTCATCAAGCCATGGAGACACGGCCTCCAGGAGAAGGGCTGGGAAGGCTAAATCCAGAATCCTCTGCCCCCCACTGGGCTACTGGCCAGCTTAGCTCACAGATCCTGAGATGGCCCCAGTCTGGAGGGGAAGGGCATGCCATCCCTTCTCACTCTCCTCGGGGTCTGCAGGATCCTGGGGAGGCTCCCACCCACCCTAGCCTCCACCTCATGGGGCTCAGCCGGCTCCCCTTCTCACCCGCAGAACCAGCCCTGCCAACGCCCGCTTCGCCCGGCCATTCTGCGGCACCCCCGCTTCCGGGGCCTGTTTGATTTCGCCATTCCAGTGCTGCTGTGGGGGGGTCTCTTCACCCCAGAGCTCTGGGACAACCTGAACCAGCACAAAGCCCCCTACGGCTGGCAGGGGCTCTCTCGTGAAGGTAACCCGCTGCCCACCGCCCCTCGCCCCGCCTTCTGCCTCAGCCTCCCACTCTCGGCCCTGGGGTCGGCCCGGCCTCCTGCTCTCACTGCTGACCCCGTGGTGCCGGGCCTCCGCGGGCCCCTCTCTCCTCCCAGAACCCCCAGCTGTGGGGCTCCTGGCTCACCTCCCTCCTCCGTCCAGGCACCCAGGGGCCACTGATGGGGCTGGGGCCGCCCCTGCTGGTGGCCCTCTCTCCATCCTGGGGCCTCCCTGGCAGGAAAGGCTCCAGTGACCAACGATGGCCAAAGGCAGAGGCCCTGGGGCCTCGCACAGCCTCGCTCATGGTCGCGACTTCGGGAACCACCACGCTTCGGGCCCATCGCCCCTCCCCATCCTCTCTCCCACCCTTGAAATCCTCAGATTCTTTCTTTTGGAATGCAGTCTTGAGAGGGCAAGTTATTCAGGTTGTTAAGGTGAATGAAGGCCCACCAGGCTCCCACTGTCCCCCTCTCAGTTCCCGCCCCCCACTGACATTTCCTTCTCCTCCCACCCTCTGTGCTTTCTGGAGGGGGGGGGCGCTGGGGTCAGGCCCCAGGGGAGGTAGGGTGCCAAAACCAGTCTTGAGAAGGTTCCAGATGACCCTCAGCCAGTCCTCCTCACGGATCTTCCATTTCGCACCCCCAGCCATCGCCTCCACCCTCAGCCTTCTGAATGGCTCAGAGAGCTCGAAGCTGTTTAATGCCCCCAGGGACCAATCCCCCAGCTGCATCCAGTGTGCTGTGGTGGGCAACGGAGGCATTCTGAATGGCTCTGGCCAGGGGCTGAACATCGATGCCCACGACTATGTGTTCAGGTAGGAGGGGCAGGGGCCAGGGAGGGGTGGGAGAGGGCCGGACCCTAGCCAGTCCTGGGAGGTATCTTTCCTGGGGACAGCGGGCCAAAGTGGCAGCAGCCTTTGGTAGCTCAGCTCAGGGATGACACACAGGCATGGACAAAGAGTGCAAAAAGTGGACCCTGCAGATGGAGCCTGCGAACCAGTGTGCAAGGAGACCCAAGAGGAAGGAGCCGCCCGTGCCAGATTTACTCTCAAGGCATCATCCCTTGAGATGTGGCCAGGGAGGGGGCAGGCAGGGCCCGGGCTGGTGACTGGGCACTGGTGCTGCCATGGGCAGCAAGCAGGAGTGGTCCAGGCAGAGGCGTGGGGACCGGGCAGAACCATGGAGGTGGAACTAGCACAGACAGCTTGCTGTAACCACAGAGACTGATGGGCCTCTGTGCCGACCAGACTCAATGGTGCTGTGATCAAAGGCTTCGAGCAAGATGTAGGCACCAAGACTTCTTTCTATGGTTTCACTGTGAACACGATGAAGAACTCCCTCATCTCCTACTGGAATCTGGGCTTCACCTCCGTGCCGCAAGGACAGGTGAGGCCTCTGGCGGGCATGCTACTGTGGTTGGCAATGGCATCCTCCTTCCTGGAGCCCCCGGGGTATGAGAGAGGGTGTGGCACAGGGCTCACAAATGCCCGTCCAGTGGATGAGGAGGTTGTACCAGGACTTTGGCAGCACAAGATGGCACCATTGAAGGTGAAGGACGACCTGGTCAGGGACTCCCCCCTTGATTCAAGTGGCACTGGACTCCTCTGGTGCGTGGAAGGTGAATGGCTAATATTTACTGATTGCTTACGATGTGCCAGGCACTTTACAGATACCATGTCAATTCCACCTTACTGGTAAAGGGCTAAAACCCAACGCCCTTCCATCCAGCAAGTCAGTGATAGGGCCAGGATTCTAATCCCGACTGCCTGCCCACCCTGAGTTCGCATTCTTTGGGGCGATCAGCCTGTTACAGTGACACACAGGGGAAAGGTATTTATTGAGTTCCTCTGTTCTCAGGATGGGACAGGGTCACCACAGCAGCCCTGAGTGGGACCATTATACCCATTTGCAGGTGGCATGGCTGAGATGCTGAGAGGTTCAGAAACGTGCCCAAGGTTACCCAGCTAGAATCATCAAAACCTAGGTCCCTTTAACCCCAACACGTTTCCCTACACTGTCTCCCCAGAAGAATAATTTGCGACCTCTTGAATTCTCACAACAGCCCTGTGCAGGAGACTGAGGTTCAGTGAGATGGAGGGACATGCCCAGGTCACAGCCTGGGAGTGCAAGAGCCAGCATCTGAGCCCCTCTGCTGACTTCAGACTTTTTCAACCATACCCGCTTGGCATAACTTCTCACCTCCCTCACGTGCTGTGGGCGCCACATGCAGGGTTATGGAGAATCCAGGAAAAGGGGTTCTGCAGTGCCGGATGGGGCTGAGCTGGGCTTCTAGAAGTTTCCTCCTCTTCTGACCAGGGAGTTAAGGAGTATCCTAGCCATAGTGTCTACACTGCACTGAGTCCCCACAGTGGAACCTCTCTCAGCTCACGATAGAACAAAATGGAGCAGCTTTGTCCCTGGTATATCCACAGTACTTGTATGAGTTATCTTTGCTGTGGAACTGACTCCAAATCATGGTGAGTTTAGACTGAATGACATTTATCAACTTACCGTTTCAATGGGCCAGGAAATGGGAGCAGCTTAGCAGAATGATTGGCTCAGGCTCTGTCGGGTAGTGAGCTACAGTTATCTGAAAGCTTGACCAGGGCCAGGGTCAAGATGGCACACTAAACAGGTTTTTGCTGAGTGGGTCCCTGTATATGCTACTTGAACGTCCTCACGACATGGCTGCTAACCTCAACCCAGTGAGTGATCCCAGATAAAGCAAGGAAGCCATGGCAATTTTTTTTTTTTTTTGAGTTGGAGTCTCACTCTGTTGCCCAGGCTGGAGTGCAGTGGCACACTCAGAGCCACCCCAGCATCAACCTGCTGGGCTCCGGCGATCCTTCCACCTCAGCCTTCCAAGAAGCCGGAACTACAGGCGTGCGCTACCATGCCCGGCTAATTTTTTTGACTTATTGTAGAGATGAGGTCTCACCAAGTTGCCTGGGCTGGTCTCGAATCCATGGGCTCACCTTGGCCTCCCAAAGTGCTGGGACTACAGGCTGAGCCACCGAGCCCGGCCACCACTGCACCTTTTAGGACCAAGTGTCCAGGGTCACACACCAGCACTTTCCACTTTATAAGAAAAATACTATGCATGTCACTAAGTCCAGGGGAATGACAATTAAGCCTCACCTCTTGAAGGGAGAAGTATCAAAGGATTTGTGAGCCTATATCGAAACCATTACAATACCTCAGTTAGAATTAATGAGAAGTCTCCTGTCACCACAGAGGGTGAGACTTGGGGGAGAGGACAGGGGCTGTCCTTGCTGAACTGGAGCTCAGTGTGGCCTTGTCCCCCTTGGGGCTCAATGTCTCTATCCCGACAGGACCTGCGCTATATCTTCATCCCCTCAGACATTCGCGACTACGTGATGCTGAGATCGGCCATTCTGGGCGTGCATGTTCCAGAGGGTCCTGATAAAGGGGACAGGTGAGCAACCGGCAGTGGCGTGAGGCTGTAGCATAGGGGTGGGTGACTGCCGTCATCTCTCCTTTGCTCCTAGGGCCCCTGGTGGGGGAGAGAAGGTGGGTGAAGGGCAACAAGGAAAAGCCCCAGAATTCAATCACCCCCAGTTATTCAACATAATTCAGCACTGGGGAATTAGACTCCAGGGAAGCCCAGGTGTGGGTCCCTCTCAGTGTGGTGGGCTGGAGGCAACAGGGGCGGTTTTTCTGAACTGAGCGGGCAGGTCTGGTCCCTTGTCTTCAGGCTACCTTCTCCACACCCGGCCCAGCTGCCAGGGCTCCGGGATGCAGTCTCATCCTGCTGAGCACAGTGTCCTGGAAACTAAGAGCAGGGGCCAGTCCATGCCACTCCTTCTCCTGGTGGGCATCCTTCCCAGGGTCATGCCCGTGAAACAGGAGAGCAAGCTCGTAGGCCCAGTGTCCTGAGAGGTGGCAAAAAAGGGCACTTTGTCTTCTCTCCCACCTTCCTGCACAGCAGGCCTGGGTGCGCCTCTTTTGAACCATGTCATGACCCTGGTCTGAACCTTCTCCCTGTGGTTCTGAGACCAATTCTTGGCCCTGAGGCCAGACCCCTAGAAAGCGACGCCACGAGTGCAGCCTTCTGTCCTGGCACTCTCAGGACGTCTTACCCACTCCCCAGAGCCAGGCCCAGCTGCCCCGTGCCCCGCCCCCACCCTCACCCTGGTGATGACCCAACAATTGCTGCTGCAGCTCACCGGCCGGGCTTTGTGACACCGTGGGCCTGGGCTCTAGGGGGGCTGCCTCGGAGACATCAGGTGGCCACAAGCCTCCCTAACATCAATGAGCTCCCCCTCCCACACCCCCAGTCCGTCCCCTACCCAGTCCCCCTCCCAGTCCCGCTCCAACCACCTCAACCCGCAGCCCCAGGCCAGCGCCGGCGGCTTAGAGCCCTCCCCCTCCCTGACGCGGGGCTCGTCCTCCCGCCCGCCCTCGCACCCGCCCACCCCAAATGCCTCCCAGCCCTCCTCCCGGGCGTCCTCCCTGGCCCCCAGCCCTCACGCCCAGCACGTCCCCCGGGGGACTGTCCCCACCCCGCCCCC